GCGTGCGTGCGTGCGTGGGAGAGCACAGCGGGCCAAATAAGCGGCTCTCTGCATGGATGGATGGGCGGTGCACGAGCGCGCGTGCAATGCTCCGCAGGAGTTGCAGCAGGCTCGGATCGGGGCACACCTTATTCGCATTGCACGAACACATTCAACTCGTCAACCGTGGCTCTGGCCATTCACCTCGTCCATGTCAGCCAAGCAGAGCAGCCGCTCGATTTGTATCCCAATCATTCTCCTGAGGGAGGTGCTCTAGCGACTTATCACCGTCACTAGAGATCGACATGCTTTTCAATGCGAGTCAGTAGTCTGCACAATTCGCACTCGAGGCAAGTGGGCAGACTTGATGGCGTCGAGATCCGGCCGGAGACTCGTGTGCCCTTGAGTCGAAATGGTGCCCTCCATGTCTGGCACCTTAGCGGAGACATTCGCCTTCACGCTGACTGTCCCCGGGTGACAACTGTGACGTAGATCGAATCAGGCGGAGACGATGTCACAGAACTTGCTGTCATGAAATCTGCTCTCACGAAGCGATGCTGTATTACCTACCGACTGCAGACTTGCGCCGCTTCAAAAGCTGCGAAATCCTTCGCTGGTCTCCTCTCATCTGAACGCGAGTCGACGTCCGGCAGCTGCCCGGACTTGTCGGATCATGGCGGAGTAGCGGTCCATTCTGACGTCGGCGCGAGCCTGCACCTTTCAAAGGCTCCTTGGGTATTGGAGTCCTCTAAACGAACGCCTCGGCACCGATCTCTTGGAAGGCAATCTATGGGTGGCAGCAGTGGTGCTCCTGAGTCCTTGCGATCTCTCGCCACCGGCCACAGAGCTCAATGCCTTGCGCGCACGCTACAAGAGCAGCTTCGCAACACGACGACCCCCTTGTCTTTGTATAGCCCCCGTACGACGCAATGGTGATATCGTGGCGATGTCCGACGGTAATGATACCGCGTCTACCGCTGCGCTCGATCGCCACTGCGAGGCGTTCTTGTTTTGTGGCAGACGTGGAGCCTGGGCCGCGATGATTCGCAGTGGCACTGCCGACAACACAAGACTTGAGTGGCGTGCAATCGAGGAGCACAAGAATCGGAAGACTTTTTCCCACTCGGATCCGGATGCCGCCTATCTGTGACAAAATTGTTGCGATGCAGCGCCAGCAGTCTAGGTGGCGAGGCGGACTTGACTGCAAAGCGGTAGAACGAATTTGCAATCACGAACAAGCATGGCAGTAGTCGTCCTCTTTAAAGCGCAGAAAAAGGCAACCAACCAGTGTCAGCATCCCCACGCACCCCATCGTAAGTCACTCCCCGCTGACTTATTGTGCCCCTTCAAGCGGGTCTGTTGTATACTCAAGCACTCCAAGTCACCCAGTCAATGCTCTCTTGAGGATGAAACTTCCAAGCAAGGTTCTCGTACTTAGCCAGTGCCTCTATGCGGCCACTAAAGCTGCGCGTGCGAGCTCTGTCGAGTCAGGACCCCCGACAAATAGCAAATTAGGCAACTTACCAGTCCAAAGGCAGACTGTCGTTAAGCGAATGGCGCCCCCAGTAGGGCTAAGCCATTTTCCGACGGCACTCAACGAGAGGATAGACGCCGAACTGTATCCTTTCGTGACACCGAATCCGAACGGCCGGCTGTACACCCAGCCAGCAGCAAGGCTGCGCGTTTTCTTGCAAGAGACCGGCATGCAAGTGTACAAGTGACCCAAGAAGCTCGCAAAATATGTCTGGAAGCATCCTTTCGTAGCTGCTGGGTGAGTGTAGGCTCGACACGGACAGAGTGGAGCATGTGCTCCAGTCTCCTCCTGCGGTTGACGTCGCTTTCAGCACGCAGTGTTGCATCGGTCCCCGTCGGTGTGGGCAGCTTTGCGGAGGGCCATAGACGACAACAAGAGACATTGAAGGCGGCTGCTCATAAGGCAGATCAAGTTCATCCGGACAAATCTGCGACGGGCGCAACGACGGCGGACAAGCACGACCCCGACGAGCTGAAGAAAAGGATCATGGACAGGCGCAATGTGAATCTCTCAGGACAAACATTCGTGCTGCAAAAGCGTCTTGCATCAGGAAGGGCGATGCGAAAGGTGCTTCTGGAAAATCTAAAGATCGTACGACGTCCGAATGCGACCAGGACGGCACGTAGGATGCACAGGCAGCTTTCTCGACTCGAATCAAATCGACAGCTGCTGCAAGAAGCCAGGCTTGGCGGTGGCAAGGACGATGATCGCGTCAAGAAGGGCATCAAGCTGGCATTGTGAGTCAAAGGCGTCTGTCCAGCCCGAGCGCCGACGACGGCAATGGCTGAAAATCCGTCGTGTCGCCTGCGTGACGAAGGGCTACTGGCGCAGTGACTGGCGTGGGTGTCGCATCCTACCAAGGCGGCAAAGCTTTGGCAAGCCATCAGCACTTTGTGGACGTGACGAGGTGCGAATCTGGCTCCTCTGAGAGCGGCTGCAATAGCTTCCGAGCCACCGGGAAGCCATAGCTGCGCTTCTGAGCGCGAGCGCGAGCTTTGCCCGAAGGAAGACCTGATGCCGCCCCATTGCGAATGTCGCGCATGAGTAGCGGGGTTCTGGGAAAATGACCAGACATTGTTGGGAGTCGTGAGTGAATGCACGCCTTGAGCAGAGCGCTGCGAGCTGCGCAACGTCGACATCGACTCGAGCCACCTCTTCTCAGTAAAGAATCATCAATGCATCACTTTCAAATTTCTCATCGTGATCTTATGCGGCATGGACCTCGACGTGATCTGTCAAGCTCATCTCAAGCTCATTCAAGAGTTGGCGCGTCTTTCGAAATCGAGCCTTGGGTGATCAGCCCATGAATTTCGATTCAAGATTGCGTGCGTACAGTCGCGAGTAGAGTGAGAATGAGATTTCTGAGCCAGTGAAACTCGGCCCCGACTTTGCCGAGCCTATCGCCTGGCTGCACGACGTGTGTGACTTATAGAGCACTCGTGACTGGTCAATCAGCGGTAAGGGCCATTCATTGCCTTGACCTAGCTGACCATGCAGCCAAGCAAAAAAGCGTCGCTCTTTGAATCTTGATTTCTTGATTGCACGCTGTGCAAGCTCAACGCACAGGAGTGGTCGTGTGGGCACCGGGCGTCAAAAGGCGGGGATCGCGCATTTGAATTTTGCATTACATGAGCGATTTGCGCGATGTGTCTTTCTGAGAGCTGCTCTACATTCTTGATTTAGCTTCTGTTCCAGCTTTCAAAGATTGGTAAGCTGAATCCTAGACGATGATTATAAAAATGTTGGAAGCTTGCTTTGCTTATCGGAACACAACGCAAGACGAAGACCGGTGTCGCGCGTTGCTCGCGGCTGATCATGCATACAGTACATATATACTCTGACTGTATGCAGCATGCATGGGGCCCTGCGTGGTGTTGAGCAATGAAGGCGGGGCAGAGTGTCGCTCGCACCATCGATGCTGTCGAGGCGGCGAAGTCACAAGTCATTGGCTACGCCGAGTCACCGCCACCAGCACGTACCCAGCAACTTGGTCACAGCCACGAGTCTTGTTCAAGTTTGGTCAGGTCCGCTCGCCCTACTCATCCATCCCTTTCAACAATCTGCTCCTCGAGCGCAATTTGAGCCTTTACACAAGCTCGCCTTCCACTGTGCCTTCCCTACCTGCCGCTCTTCCGCCTAGTGTCAAAATGTCGTCTGCCTCGGATAGACTCGCCGCCATTCAGGGCCACGTAGACCCAGCAAAAGCTGCGCAAGGTGAGACTCGCAACTTGTCTGGCCTTAATCTGTAGGCGTGTTCGCAGAGCAAATACGTTTCAGAGTTGCGGGCTAGATGAGGTCCGGGTGGTCACTCGATCCTCTTCCCTTCGGAACTCGGCTTACCGTCATCTGTACCCCGCAGCTGTATGGGCATCGGTGCCTGAAGCACCTCCCGACGTGTAAGTATCGCAGGAATGGAGCAAATCATCGCGAAGAAGGCTGACGCTCTTGAGCACTATCCGAACCCTCCTTTCTGGCTGTTTCAGTATCTTTCAATTGACTGCTGCGTACAAGGCTGACAAGTACGATAAAAAGGTCAACTTGGGTATCGGCGCATACAGAGATAATGACGGCAAGCCATGGGTCCTTCCAAGCGTCCAGCAGGTGAGTATAGAAGAGCAGAGAGCTGAGTCAGGAAAGGTGCTCTGGCTGTGGCAGTCGTCTGCAATAGCAGCAGAGTTTATACTCTCGCACGCATTCAGAGAAAGTCTGGAGTGAACCCCACTCATCACTTCACTCGTCTTGGCAGGCGCAAGAGAGGTTGATCGCGGACAAGTCCGTCGACCACGAGTACCTCTCAATCACTGGTCTGCCCACCTTCACATCTTCTGCAGCCAAATTATTGCTGGGCGCTGATTCTCCGGCAGTTGCAGAGGACAGAGTCACTAGCGTGCAAACAATCTCTGGCACTGGCGCAAATCACTTGGGCGCTGTGTTTTTGAGCAAGTTCTACGCTTTCAACGGAGACAGGCAGATCTTCATCTCTAACCCCACTTGGGCAAATCACAAGGCCATCTTCAATTCGGTCGGCATCAAGCCGGTCGACTATCCGTACGTGAGTTGCTTTCCTTCACCGCGTACCGCAGCATGCATGGCCCACCCATGGCAGTCAACAGGACTTCGAGCTTACCTTAGCGCTCTGTTGTGACTCAGTACGACGCCAAGACTATCGCGCTTGACTTTGAGGGCTTCACGTCCACGCTCAAGAATGCTCCAAATGGCAGCGTCATCCTGCTTCACGCATGCGCACACAATCCTACTGGCGTTGACCCCACCAAGGAGCAGTGGCACGCCATCGCCGACATCTTCCTTTCCAAGGGTCACCTTGCTTTCTTCGACTCAGCCTACCAAGGCTTCGCAAGCGGCAACCTAGACGCCGATGCCTTCAGCGTGCGTTACTTTGTATCGCGACGAGACATTCCCGTGCTGGTCTGCCAGTCGTTCGCCAAGAATGCCGGGCTGTACGGAGAGAGAGTAGGGGCCTTGCACGTGATTTCTGCTACGAAGGAGCAAGCAAAAGCGGTAACGACTCAATTGTCGGTCATTCAGAGGAGCGAAATTTCAAATCCACCAGCTTTTGGCGCTCGAGTGGTCAGCATGATCCTCAACGATCAGAAGCTTTGGGCGCAATGGAATGAGGATGTCCGAACTATGGCGAACAGAATCATCGACATGAGGAAGCAATTGTTCGAGCTCCTCACCAATAAGCACAAGACGCCTGCTCCCGGAGGGAATTGGAACCACATTGTCAAGCAAATCGGCATGTTTACGTACCTAGGCTTGTCCGAAAAGCAAGTGGCAAAGGTTGTCAACGAGGGTCACATCTACATGACCAAAAACGCCAGAGCAAGCGTTGCTGGTCTCAACACGCACAACATCGAGTACGTGGCTCAGTGGATCGACAAGGCGGTTCGAGAAGCCTGATTGCACCAGCGATCTCAAGCCTTTACCGCAGGGTGCGTTGCCCAGATGACGCTTGGGTGACTCGGTAACATTGGGAGATGTGCCATGCTTGTTGCATCTAGAGGGTGATGATCAGTGCTTGTGAAGTCTATACCTCAGACGCTGAAATTACCACCCACTTCCATACTGTGTACGGCTTGGCTACGAGAGTTGATGCGTGCATGTATTGGCCTGAAACATGTACCTCATATCTAGTCCAGAGCCATGCCCTCCCCAGTGTTCTCTTCCTTTGGCTTTGCCAAACCATTCCTCTCGATGAGCCTGTCAATATCATGAGGCTTGAAAATGCTGGTGCGTGGTACGCCGGTCGAATCCAAGGTAAGGGTCGCAAATTCGACTGCAAGGCAGCAAAGTGTGGTCAGCTATCGCAAGTGCTGTACGGATCGAGCGGGCCCTGCCCAAAGCGACTTGACTCACTCTTGTCAGAGTCCAGGGTAGTGGCATCCATGGTCTTGCCAAGCGTCTTGATAGCCAGATCCGAGGCTTCCTGGATGCCAAGACCCTCCTTATAGTCTTGCTTCAAGAGACTTGTGGCAGTACCATTGTTACTTCCAATGCAGGTCGCTTTCCACCCCGAGTAGTTGCCTGAAGGGTCGGAATGGTACAGTTGGAATTCGTGGTGGGCATCGTACCCGGCATACAACAATGATACACCGAACGGTCGCAAACCTGCGAAAGTGATTGAGCCAAGTATTGAAATGAGACGCGCGTCGAACTGAAAAAGCATTCGAACACCTCTACTGCAGCGTTGAGCTTCAGTCTGAGCTGGAATACGCACCTCCATATTGCGTGTAGCCTTGCTTGAGATCGCAAAGACGTTGTGCTAGTTGTTCGACTGGCATGTCATCATCGTAGGCCAAAAGGTACTTCTGCGCTGCGTTTCGCGCATAGTTGATCAGAGAATTGGCATCCGCTGTCAAGCCGGCTACGCCAGTGACCACGTTGCTAAGGGCAAGGCAACAAGCGTCCGTCAGGTGTCTGCTCACGGAGATACGCATTGAAGAGCCCTTCAAAGCTGTGTGAGCATCTCGAAGCTCGACCCGACTCACTTGCTTAGGCTGTAGATCTTTTCCGAGCTCTTGTCCTGCTCCAGCAACTTGCTGGTCACCTTCTTTTCAGCAGCCAAGACCACGCCATCCTTTGCAAGGATACCAATCACAGTTCCTGCATGAGAAATGGCCTCCATAGCATATTCCACCTGGTACAATCTCCCTTCTGGACTGAAGGTCGTCGTCCTAGAATCGTATCTGCGCGACATCTTGCCTCTTTCCTTGTGCTGTTGTTGGGGCGTGCAAATGTTCGCAAAGTCGGTCGCAGCGGCGAGGTAGCCTGACGCTGAAGAGTTGGACGACGATGCTACAAGGGCTGCGCGCAAAAAGTGTAGCTGTGAGTCGAGGAAGAGGCGATGCCAAGACTGAGTTGTGGCGCGTGGGATCGTGTGTAGGGAAAGTTGAAAGGCTCAACGATCGCGGTCAAAGATCCACGATGGAGGCTCGACCAAAACGCGTGACGAGCCGCGTCACCCAAGTCGATCCTCGGCCCTCACGCCCGACGGGTCCGTGCGTCACGCACGCCTGGCACGGATCGACGCGCACAGCACCCCACAGCGCGTGCGCGCGCTCCTCAGCAGAATCTTGATCATTCGTGCTTCACGTCGTGGTGGCCGACCACCTGTGTTGTTTGTTGTTGTAGCTCGCAGAGCCTGTGTGGCTCACTGCGCCACGACTTGTGACTCTTATGGACCCGTCCATGCTGGGGACCCCACACCCAGAGCTCAGACTGTCAGGACCAAGGCCGTAGCAGCAACGCGTTACATTTCAGTACATGGTGAGCGAGCCGAGACAAGGTGGAGCTGGGAACAGCGGGAAGGTCACTGGAACATGAGTATAGCATAAAATGATGGTTGCTCCAGCTAGAGGAAGGTGCAGTGCGCGCAAGAGGGAGGCAGGCGGAAGCCCTCGCGCGATAGTCTACCGCCCGAAGCTCCACAGTGAAGGGAACCTTGAGGTCCGTGGCATAACAGTGATGAAGAGCAAAGCAGAGCATGCCGATGACTTTTGGACGGAGCGCCCCACGCTGCAAAGTTGGTTTGGATTTGTCAAGTGATACCGATTCACTGAGGAGGGTTGATGCCTGGTCGTGTGACATGGGTGCAGGCTGGACCCGGAAACTCAGAATCGACCAAGGAAAAGTATGGATGCTTGAGTGCTTCCGCAACCGTGATCCTGTGAGCGGGTATCAAGAGGGTGAGCGATGGGCACAACCTCGCTTGCAGGGTCACGCTGAGAGCACTCACCTCCGTTCCGGATCGTATTCAAGCAGTCTCTGCAGCAAATTCAAGAACATGTCGTTGTGCTTCTTGTAACCGACGGGACCGCTGACAATTTCCTGCAGTCGCTTCATGCGCTTCATGTACCGTCTGGACTGTGGTGTTGTCTCTTTGTTGGGCCAGTTGAGTCTCTGGTTGTGGAAAAAGTCTGGTCGATAGGTCTCGGCCTTGCGGCGATACTGCTCAGGCATGGGCCCAAGAACAACCTCCATCATCGCAAGATGTCTGCAACGAAAGCCGTGAGGCTAAGGTCAGTTCCACTCGACCCACAAAAAGGAAAGAAAATTCGCAATGACTTACTCGAGATTGTCGTGCGTCTGGAACAGCGCGTCACCGGTGTAGAATTCTACCAAGATGCAGCCAATAGACCATGCGTCACATGGATATGACCAGCCCATTTCTATTGATCCAGATCATACAAAAGATTAGCATAATTACATCGTCCAGTCTAGGCCACCAATGCACTCACGCAAGATGATTTCTGGCGCTCTGTAATGCCGGGTCGAGACGACTTGAGAATGGTACTCATTGTTGAATGTCGCACTTCCAAAATCGATGAGGCGAATCTCGGAGTTGTTCAGAACGCGCTTCTTTTTTGCGTTTGCTCGCTGCGGGCGCGCAACGAGCGTCAGCTCTGGACTTTGAAGATGGGTCCCTCCTGCAAATGGGGCAAGAGCATCACTCACCTTGGTGGTGGCTACATTCTCGTAGCTGCTGTCCACCAGCAAGATGTTCTCCGGCTTGAGATCGGTGTGGACCAGGCTCAACCGATGCAAGAAGGCGACGCTCTGCAACAATTGTCTGGCAAATGACCATATGTGCCGAGGGGGAAACGAAGCAAATTGGTTCTCTTTCAAGAAATCAAAAACGCTCTGTCCCAAAAGCTCCGAAACAATGCAAACGTGATTGAGGTATGAGAATGTCTCAATCAGGTGGATGCATTTGCTGTGAATGTCGGAATGAATGCGCATGATCAGCTAGGCAAATCGAGAGCATGCTTCAGGGACAAGTCAGACTCACTTTTCGTTCTTGGGATCTTGCTGCCGCAAAAGCTTGAGTACGCGAATCTCGATCTGACTTGCGTCCCTGTACTTCTGAATTGCGCGAATGATTTTGATCGCGACGAACTTTTGCTCACGCCGGTCCCAGCACTCGACAACCTTGCCAAAGGTGCCTTGACCCAATTGCTGCATGATTTTGTCTATGTTCGAAGCCGGCAAGGAGTGTCGTTGAGCTCAGCCTCTCTCAACTGGGAAGGTCGGCAAGCAAAGCACTTAGTTGACTCACATCTTTCTGTCACATTTTCACCTTTGCGTACGATGAAGTGACCTTCTTTGTCGTCGACTGGTAGCTGAGGTGCATAGTTGCGACTCTAGGGTACAAAATGACGCGCATTCTCGTCAGCGAGCTATGCGCCAATTTAGATGCCGGAGCGACAAGCTCGAGCAGACTCACCCTCGCTTGTGATGCCTTTGAGAGGTATCCTGGGTCCTGGACTGCAAGCCCCGACATCGCTGGGACTTGCTCATGATAGGCTGTGCTTCCATAAGCATCAGGCTGCTGGTGTGAAGTATGGCCAGTGTGCTGCGCGTGGATGTACGGATCGTCCTTTCGCCGGCGTTTCTGAACAGCTTCTGCTTCCCGAGTTGATGCGATGGAGCCAGCAGTAGATGCTGCAACAGAGTTGTACGAACCGTACTCCTCCTCCGCCTTCCTCTTCCCCTTGGGGGCTGCGGCATAGGCGTCGCCGGCCTCTGGTCGTGCCCGTGTTCGGGTCTGTCCAGCATAGCCCCGCGATGTCTTGTATGCTGAACCCGGCCCTGCGCCATTGCCATGGTATACGTCCGCAGCCAATGGCTGGGCAGGTGGTCTATCCTCTTCATTGTCGGAGCCGTCTGAAAGGACGAAGACTTCTCGTTCCTGGTTCGCAAGGGACAGCGCGAGATGTACAGATGACCAAATTGGAAACGCGTCAGCGACTGGCATCAAATCCCTGCTCTCCAGGTATCCACTGAGGCAGTACGTCGTGCTCGCGCCTATGCTACCGAGCGTCACATGCATTCAGACGACGAGCTAAATCGCCTAAACATTCAAATCTCCTCTCAGTAGCAAACTTGCAAGCTTTCCCCCTTCCTCCTCTGAATATCGCTGTCTTCAGCATGCAGGATGCTTCGATCAAGACTCACCTGACCAGCTATGACCTCTTTCACGCTCGCAGGGGTTCGGGGCGACTGATAGTGCGAGGATCCGCCAGCGACAGGCGCGTAGCTGTGAGAGCTGCGATGTTGCCGATGGCCATGGCCATTGTAGTAGCCGTTCAAAGGGGTGGCCGGGACTTGAGCCGGAAGAGTCGACATTGGGTCAGGGTAGGCGTACTGATGGGACGAAGAGCTGGATGGATCAGCCGAGTTGTTTGAGTACGAGGAAGCGTTGGGATTGTCGACGATGGACTCGTGAAGTGGTTGGTGGTAGCCTTCAGAGAGTTTGGCTAGGTTGCTGTCTATACGCGGAGCCTCGCCTCTTCTTTGCTTCTTTGCCCGAGGCAGAGTTGCCATGTTTCCACTTTGGAGGCGATGATGATGCACAAGTCAGAGAGCAATGACAGCTACTCGTTTGGCGGATGACGCAGACGATTGATGACGAAGGTGGGGTGAGGAAGCAAGAGTGTTGAGTGAGATCAGTGACTTGCTGGCCTCCGATGAGATAATGCGTCCACGCGGCGCGTCACGGGCGCTTTGCCAACGCGCCGCAGAAGAGGTGGAGTCGCAGAGCAG